ATATCATTTGAAATCCCACCAGGTAATTAAGACCTTCAATTAAGATTATTCTTTCACTAGCAGCTGCTTATCACATTTAAATCTTCATTTCTTTATACAGACATAGTGTTCTTTGGTGAATCCCTGCCACATGTCTTTCACAAACGTGTTCCTCAGGTAATAGCACATTTTTTGTCACTAAAATTATTGTTTTATTCATGTTTGTCTGATTCCCAACATATGAGACCTGTGGCCAAATTTTGAAAGCTCCCAGTATCCTGTGATACAAAGAGTAAGTAAGTTAACTAACCTGGGAGGACACCCATGTGAAAAGGTCAGGGATGCTGGTCAGAAAATTTGTATGTAGCCCCTAAAGGAGACCAATCTGCATAGCTGGGCCTGACTCAAGCTTTATTTGAACCATCAAAGATACCACTTGAAACGAAAATGACTGTATTTTTCTTCATTTTGTCTTCAAGTGTGTTTTGTGTTGAACACACCAAACGATACCAAAATCAGTAATTTACACCCTTAACACAAAATGTGTACGGAAGTTGCTCATACAATCTGTTAATGATCCCAAATACAATGATCTTATACACATGTACAACTGAGAGCAGGGGTGATGCAGTGGTGACAGCTTGCTCAAATACTGAATTCCAGGCATCATAAGTGGGTTGGGTTTCTTCTTCGTTTTCATCCATAATCCATGGACTTTTCTGTGGGTTCTCTGATTTCCTACCGTATACAAAAACCGATGCTCCAAATTATAATCATGGGTCTTCATTTATGTGTTTCGTGGATAAATAAAAATTACATAGTTTTATTTTTATTTTTTGTATTAAAAACCCATTGCTAATAGACCCACTGTTTGGATCTCCTCATACCCCTTTCATACCAATTTTAATTACCATATTTAATCATGCAAAACATAGGAATCATTGATATCTCTTATTCTTGAAAGTCTCTGTTCCCTGCTTTCATAGGATATGCCCAAGTGTGATCTGCTGATCGTGATGGGTACTTCTCTTGTAGTGCAACCTTTTGCTTCCCTAGTTGACAGGTAAGGATCAGATAAAGCATTTAGCTGTCCGTGAGTAACAAGACACTTCTCTTCGACACTATGTTCTAACAACTTAGCAAAGTTATAAAGATCTAGCTTCACAGAGATCTATGTTAAGTGCAACACTGATTAGCTTGCAGCTATCTGTGCTCAAAAATACAAATCAATTACATTGCCCACACGTTGCAGATTTCTGTAAAAGCTTCGTCATCAGCACGTTTATTTTTTGCACAAATCTCAGTACATCCAGTGCTGCATTGATTGCATTACAAGTTTTCAAAGTGTCCTCAAACAATGTAATGAATTAAATTAAATTACAATAATCTTATTTTTTAATAATCTTAATTGGTATATCTAATAAAGCATTGTTTACTTCATTAAATTTATTTAGAGTTCCAGAGACAACTCCAAGATTGTTAATAAATAAAGAGAAATGTGGACATCAGGTGAGAGTGATTTTCATATTTCAACAACTTTTACATTTCTGCTGAGTACTTTGTAGGGGCAGTTCAATTATTCTTCTGAAAGTTAAATAACTCAACGCCATTCCATGTATATGGTGTTTTGTATTACAACAGTAGAACGACACTGATACTACTAGAAAAATATACCCTGAATCAAGAATTTGAACATAGATATTTGACAGAGCATCAGTGAGAACAAAAACGTCTGGAAATAGTACTTTGTGTTTTTCAAATTTAACCAAAATTGACACTTTTTTTCTTCAAATCTTGTACCTGTAAACGTAACTGTCCTAATTTTGATCTCTTTTATGGAACCAGTCTTGTTTTTTTCTTTCAAGGCTGACTTCTTCACGTTGTTGATGGGCGGCAGGAGTGGATTCAAATTCGATAACGAGGACAATTACAGGTTGTGTATGCAAAGATACATGTTTGTTTGTTGTTTTAAGTACATGTATTTTATACCGTGACACGTAGGCTACAGCCGATCAAAAGGTTAGAAAACTGTTGCATATCTGGTGGCATGCTGCAATGGCTGGAACTTGGTACGTGCCCAGAGGCCGCACTCCTTTTGGTCAGCACCAAGAATCGCGACCTCCAGCCTAGTCCAACACGAAAGGTCTCAAAAACCGCTGATTGGCTGGGGACTTTTTTAAGGACGCGTGCGCAGAACATTGACCGCTGACTTACTGCGGGGATTGGAAGCGCGATCGAGTGGCCATTGAACGGTAGTTTGTGTGAACTGCGCTCGATTGTGCTCTTTTCACCACAAGTTGGTGCTTTTTGCTTGGCCAGTTT